CTGCTTGATTGGCACTACATCCAGAAGTATCCGCTCTCTCTAAAACCGATGCTCAGTAGCTGCAGTGTGTACTATCTACAAGATGCACTCCAGAAATTCACCAAAGATCCTCAGACAGCACCTTCCAAACGCACAACCACTTCCATCTAAAAGAACAAGGAAAGCAGATATATGGGAACATCACTATCTTCAAGTTCCCCTCCAATCCACTCGCGATCCTGACTTGAAATATATTGTCGCTCCTTCACTGTCGCTGGGTCAAGGTCCTGGAATTCCCTCCTTAATGGCTTTGCTGGTCAACCCGCAGCAGATGGACTGCAACAGTTCAAGAAGGCAGCTTACCATCACCTTCTCAAGGACAACTACAGACAGGCAATGCTGGCCAGCCAGCGATGTCCACATCTCACATATGAATAAATTTTTTATAAAGTGTTCTGCACTCTGCTGGTACACAATATGCAACACAATTTCATTCTATAGAGGAGAATCAAGCTGTGAGAGCACCAGGAGAAAGGCAATAAGCAATATAGAACAGGTGATACATGTATGCAAGAAGATAACCAGGGAGAGGGGAGGACCACTCAAGGATAAAGGATGGCACATGTGCTTGGCAGCAGAGGATATGGATGAGATTCTCACTGACTACTTTGCATCAGTGTTCTCAAAGGAGAAGGATATGGAGGATTGTGAGATTAGTGTGGGGCATGCTATTATGCTGGGGAATTTTGAGATCCAAAAATAAGTGGTATTGGGTTTCTTGAAGAGCATTAAGGTGAACATGTCCCCAGGGCTCAGTGAGATCTATTCCAGGTTATTGAGAGAGGCAAGAGAGGTGATTTCTGGAGCCTTGACCGAGATCTGTATATCTTCTCGAGCCACTGGAGTGGTCTCTGAGGATTAGCGAGTAGCTAATGTTGTTCCTCTGTTGAAGAAAGGAAATAGGGATAATCCAGAAATTTATAGACCAGTGAGTCTCATATTGGTGGTTGCGAAGCTATTGGAGAGAATTCTTTGGGATAGGATTTACGCACATCTCAAGAAGCATGGTCTAATTATGGACTTTGGGTGGGGCAGATCATGTCTTACTAACTTGATTAGTTCTTTTGAAGAGGTGGAAGGTGATCAATGAGGGTAGAGCAGTGGATGTTGTTTACATGGATTTTAGTCAGGCTTTTGACAAGGTACCTCATGATATGCTCATCGAGAAGATTAGGATGCATGAGACCCACAGTGATGTAGACATTTGGATTCAGAATTGGCTTGCCCATAGAAGACAGAATATCTATTTTTTGGAGGAATAGCCACCGGAGACTTCTGAACTAATTTCTAACCCTTCCTGATAGTCACCCATCTATCAGATTGATTCTGCTGTGTAACGACTTTTCTAAATCTACTCGCCATCTTACTCTGTATTTTATTTATGGCCTTAATAACATTAAGCCTAAAAAAGGGATGTTTCAATAACACCTTATATATAAAATAAACTACCCTTCTTTACTTACAGAAAATAATGTCAATGGAAAGGAATATATATAAATTAAATAAATATATATTTGCTCATATATAAATATATATATATACATATATATATAAGATATAATTTTTAAATGTTTGATATCAAACATAAAAATTAAATAAAACTACAATTAACCGAACCTGAAAAGAACTGTTTGGATACATCTTGTGATCCCAACGAGGATAGGATTCGGGGAAAGTGTTCAAGAGAAGGAAAAAGCAACTTGATGCTCTGGAGACCTTTTGTATTCCAGGGTGGAATGCAGCAGACTCTGGATTCGGGTCTGTATGTCAGCACAATCAAGACCCCCAAGAAAATGGGGACGGTTATAGTCGGGAAAGAGAGAACTGGAAGCCAGGTTTGTGCGCTGTGCAAGTGCACCAAACCTTGTAGAAGTATTCACCTGCACATCTGCTAATGTGGTATACTGTATCTGCTGTTCCCGATGTGGCATCCTCTACATCGGGGAAACCAAGCGGAGGCTTGGAGACCGCTTTGTGGAACACCTATGCTCAGTTCGCGACAAACGACTGCACCTCCCAGTCGCAAACCATTTCAACTCCCCCTCCTACTCCTTGGGCGACATGTTCATCCTGGGCCTCCTCCAATGCCACAACAATACCACCCGAAGGTTGCAGGAACAGCGCCTCATATTTCGCTTGGGAACCTTAAAGCCCTATGTGGACTTCACAAGCTTCAAAATCTCCCCTCCCCCGACCGCATCCCAAAACCAGCCCAGCTCATCCCCGCCTCCCTAACCTGTCCGTCCACTCCTTCCACCTCAAGGCCCACCCCCATCTCCTACCTATCAGCCTCATCCCGCCTCCTTGACCTGTTCATTCTCCCTGGACTGACCTATCTCCTCCCTACCTCCCCACCTACACTCACCTTTACTGGCTCCATCCCCACCTCCTTGACCTGTCTGTCTCCTCTCCACCTATCTGCTCCTTTATCCATCTTCGATCCGCCTCCCCCTCTCTCTCTATTTATTTCAGAATCCCCTTCCCCTACCCCATTTCTGAAGAAGGGTCTAGGACCGAAACGTCAGCTTTCCTGTTCCTCTGATGCTGCTTGGCCTGCTGTGTTCATCCAGCTCTACACCTTGTTATCTTGTATGATTTGTGTGTTTTTCTTCCCTGGAGATCGAGATCTGTGGATACTTTGAAGTTAGTTTGCATTTTGGGAATGTGCGGTGATTTGAAAGTGTGTTGTGTGTCTGTATCAGTGGTTGTGCAAAGCATAAATCTGCAAAATGTTGATTTAAAAATTTAGTTCATAAAGCTTGTTAAAAATTTACCTTTTGGAATTGGCTCTGTGTTTTGTTCAGACTTGGGTAAAATTTCATTCCAGAAATTACCATGTTTGGATTTTCATTTTCTGACCAGAATGAACTTCCAAATACTGTTTTAACTCATAAGATTGATTCATTGTTAATATTCAAGTGAAAGGGACATTGGAATATTGAAAATGCAACTTCCGTTGGTGAGAAATTTAGGAAAGGCAAATTTAACCAAGGGTGGGCTTTTCCTTCCTTCAAGGAGGAGGAAAAACCATTGATGTAATTGCATGCAGGAGTTTACACCCCATCCCCTTTTTGAATCCGTAGTATATTAATACTAATTGACTCATTCTACTTGACATGGAATGAATGGAGCTTGTTTGTTGTTTTTCTTAAAAATTGGACACACTGAAAGCTGAACCCATTTGCAGAATTCCAATGCCTCAACACAGTGATGGATGAGTCACCCTCAAACCATTCATCAATAATACATTTTTCAGTGTTTGGAAAGTACTGTGGAAATATTAATTGTAGTAAGTGCCAGGAATCTCAAAACCATTTAGCCTGGTTACACCTAAGCATATTGTGAGAAAATTATATTAAAGCTCACATGGCCTGGTATGCTGAAACATGTAAATAGAATAGTTATCTGAAAATTTTAAAGGGATTTTCGGAAATGATAAAGTGCATGCACAGAGTCTCAGTGGTTTCAATACATAAAAATTGTTAGTGACTTTAAGGAAGTAAACACAATATTGAATTTGGACAAATTTACATAGAGGTATATTAAATATTTAGAATGAGTTATCGAGTACAATAACTTTTTAAAAAAGTGGGTCATCTTTGAGAAAGAACAAAGTATGTTGTGCCTGATTCAATCAGAAATGTTTGGCTTCTGTTTTAAAATATTATCAGATTATGTTCCATGGACTATAAATCTCTACAGATCTCTAGAATTAGATAGGATAGTAACAGTTAAATAGCAAAATTGAATAAGACAAAATAATTAGGGGTGGACACTGGTAACAGAAGAAAAATGAATGAGAATAATGGGTTGAAACAGCAATTGAGGTTAAGATGCATTTTAGTGAAAAGGAAGTTTAGATGAGAGCACCAAACTAACAGCTTTCTCTTGGTGATGTTTGTGTCCTTGTCTTTCTTTTTAAGAAAGACTGAAATAATGATCAATCTACTGCCCAAGGCATCAGGACCATGTATGGAGAGATAAGTAAAGCTTTATACATCATTTAACAAGACCATGTGGGAGTCAAAATGCGTGACATGGTCTTGGGACACTGATATAAGTGTGCAAAAGTGAATATTACCTCAGAGGTAACAAACATGAGACTGTAAAAGAAAAGCATGCACTGAAGAACAGGTCTCAGACATGTACACATACTTGACAAAATGATTAGTGGCTTGGAAGAGGACAAAAACATAGTTCAAATGATAAGGCACTGACACAAAATTCATATGGAAACTGACTTTAAAACAATGTAAGTAGTATTAGTGAAGGGGATGTAAAAAGAATTACAATCAAAATAAATGGTGTGATTGGTTGTTATGTCAAAATGTTACAGAAATGAAAGAATATGGAGTCTGGGAGGAGTAATGGTGGACTGAGTGAAAGGGCCCATCAGATGGCATACCGATACCCTATCATGACTAAACCAATAGGTGGAATTGTAACGTGTTAGGGCAGTTAGTGCACGTGAAAGAAGGCTGAGCTAATATTCAGGTGGTGTAGGACACTGTGATAAGGGAACGCTGGGAAAAATAAAAGGCAGGAATCATAAGTTGCAGGTAAAGCCTGATGAAAGTTAGAGCGGCACTGTTTGATGCCATGTATATTGTGGCTCAAAGGGGATATCTGCACATGGAGGTGGTTATCACTCAATGATACAATCATTCATAAAATTGGCAAGGGAGGAAACATATTGAAGGAGTATCCTCAAGACAGATACAGATGAAGAAAGCTGGAGAAATTTTGAGTCCATGTATGGTGTTATTTTACTGTTTTTGGGTGAAGTTATCTGTGCATAGGGAACTGGAAGATTTAAAAAAACACAAATTAAGGAACCTGAATCTTAAATATACTGAATTTTAGAGCAAATTATGTGAATAGTTTAACTGAAAAAGTGTAAGATTAACTAACAGCCAGCTAATCTGGCACATTCTTTTATTTCCCCTTTCTTCCTCTTGCAGGTTTTGAGGGCTCTCAGCAGAACAGTATCCTCGACCCCAGGACAGAAGCTGGAATAGATTAAGTTGCGTGTACGTATGCGACACGGTTGCAGGGCATCTGCAATTAAGAATATTACAGTTGTTGGCATAAGCATGAAAATGCTAATCCTCTATGGGCTCCTCTCAATTTTGATCCCATCGGAGGCAGATTAGGCACATGGCACGACTTGCTGGTTTGATCACAGCCTTGACCACTTCAGGGGTGGGATATATTTAAGGGTTGGTCCCCAACGGCCACTGCGACCATTAATTTGATGATACATCCTATTGTTATATTATTCATATTGAAGTTTGTTATTTTCATTGTAATTTTAATTTTCTAGTGTAGGTTACATACTCATATATTCTCGCGTGGTTATCGCTGATTTGTGTCTGCATTTGCAATTGTCATTGTCACATGCGCTTTAATTATCATCAGAGTGGATTGTATAGAATGGGCTGATGGGCTAAAATTGTTGATGATATTCGACAGCTGCATGACTTTGAATGAGTCCTGTGAACATGCCTGTACATGCCAAAAATGACATAATCAAAGTTGCTTTTCCGTACTCGCTGTTTGTTACACGTATAAGACAGAAAGATTCATTCCAAGTTTTCGGACTTCGCCTCAGATTGGGATTGTGAACAGTGCCAGGGACAAACTGAAGCTTCCAGATCAACCATTGATCAAGGGGTCCTTCACACACAGGAGGGAATGAGGCTTTTCCTTCCTTTTTCATCTTCATTTATTACTTAATAAATTTTCATAGTCCAGTCTTTCATTTTTCCTCCTTTTTCCATCTTTTATTATTACTCAATAAATGTTCACATTTAAGCAAGTTGCTGTTATTGAGTCTTCTCTTAACTACATTTAATTGTATCCGAAAAGAACCTCTAGGATACACCTTGTGATACAAAATAGTAGGGGACTCTAAAACCAGACGGCATGAGTTTGAGATAAGAGCGGAAAGATTTAAAAGGGACCTGAGGGGCTTTTCACACAGAGAGTGGTGCATGTATGGAGCAAGCTGCCAGACAAGGTGGTAGAGGTGGGTACAATTACAACATTTAAAAGGCATCTGGACAGGTACATGAATAGGAAGGATTTAGAGGGATACAAGCCAAATGCTAGCAAATGGAACTAGACCATGTTAGGATATCTGGTCAGCACGGAAAAGTTGGACTGAAGGGACTGTTTCTCTGCTGTATAATACTCTGACTCTAAGAGGAAGCATTTGTTGACCACAAACTGTAACTACTTGAGCACATGGACTGCAATAGTTCAGAAAGCAGCACACCACTACTTTCACAAGGGCAACCAGGACTGGCAATAATGGGCTTAGCCACTGATGCCCCAATCCCACAGGTGAATTAGAAAAGGGCATTGATCCTTCTGCAGATGCAAATAATATCCTAACATCTACCTCAGGTGCATGCTACAAGACTGGTTTATCCTGAGGCAGGCAAAGTTTTTATCTCCTCATTGTTAATTATTGCCAGATATGAAATCTCACAGTTTGCTGGCAGTAATTCTAAAAGAATATCATTCATCTTCATTAATTCCGAAAACTTATAACATCAACGGCAGCAAGCATTTTTATCTCTAGTTTTCTGAGTTGAAATTTTCATAAATAATTTTTAATGCTTTGAATTAATTTCTTACGTATGTATAAGCCTGGTTATTTTTCAGGGGAGATGAACACGGCTTGAAATTGGTTGGCAACAATTGGCACAAGGCCTTTTTGATTGTAAGTGACCGTAAATCTTATTATGTGGTAAACTATTGAACAACATAATTCTCCAAGGATGAAGGAGTTTGTTAACTCTGCCACTGCAGATAACACGATTGCCCTTGTCAATCTTTTGTCTGTAAACAGTGTAACTCATAAACTAATAGATGGATATAAAAGAAAACTGGCACATTGATCAAAGAAGAATTGATTAGTTTCGGAGAAGTTGCATATTCTGACTGTGGAATCTTTTAAAAGGTGGTCATTAAAATTTGAAGATAGGATGATAGACTTTTTTTTAGAATGTTCTTGAATGTTCTTGATTTTGAATGCTATTGATTGTCTTAGTTGCAGGTTGTTGAATATGGATTGCCTGAAACCTCCTCTAGAAAAGAAATGTTCTTTAATATATTCAAGGCTGGTAATCTGATATAGCTTCAATAACAGAGCTGAAGTTGCAAATATTTCCAAATATACACACATTAATTGGGACATCGAGCTTGTATCTGTGAGTGAAATCTTTCAAGCTAATTTTTTTTATCTATTATTTCATGGGATGTGTGCATCTTTGGCAAGACCAGCAACAGCCATCTATCCTTAATTGGTTCAACTGTTTATAAGGTTTACAAGGGCATTACAGAGGGCAATTAAGAACCAACCACATTGCTGATGGATCTGGAGTCACATGTAGGGCAGACTTGTAAGGAGGGCAGATTTCTTTCCCACAAAATCATTAATAAACTAGATTGATTTTTACAGCAATTAATGATAGTTGTTATATTACAATTACTAAGACTAGTTCATACAAATTCCAGATATTTGTTTTACAAATTAAATCTAAATCAGCTGTTGTGGTGGAATTTGAACCCATGTCTCCAGAACTTTGGCCAGAACCTTTGGATTAACTCACCCAGAGATGTGCACTCACATTACTGTCTCACCGTAAAATTGAACAGAAAACTTCAAATCCAAAATGACAATTGAAAAGTACCCATGTTAAATATTTAATGGTTTCCTTGGGGTACACTTATCATTTTCTTAGCAAATGAAACTTTTTTTTATGATGTGGTAGGTGTAGTGAAATAGAGACAGATTGCTGAACCAAGTCAGCCTTCCTATCTCTGTATTTACATCACAGTAAGATTAAAACTTTTAAAGACCCTCAAAATTGAACCACAATGCCAATAACCAGACACTTATGAATCAGCGATCCCAGACTCTGAAACTAAAATTCTTGACATCATCTTGTAGCTTAAAAAAAAGCAATTTATTAACAATGCAGAACAATGCAAGAGCATGATTAAACAACAAAGTAAATCTGACTGATGTCTATGTTTGAACCCAATAACATTTATTCTCAGCACCAGTCACAGAAAAGGCAGACAAACAAACAAACAAACAGAAAATACAATCTAAAACCCAGTTCCTATGCTGCAGCTGTATAGGGTCCTGGTGAGGCCACACCTGGAGCACTATGTGCAGTTTTGGTCTCCTTACTTGAGAAGACATATATTAGCACTGGAGGGGGTGCAGAGGAGATTCACTCAGTTGATTCCAGAGTTGAGAGGGTTGGATTATGACGAGAGACTGAGTAGACTGGGATTATACTCATTGGAATTCAGAAGAATGAGGGGAGATCTTATAGAAACATATAAGATTATGAAGGGAATAGATAAAGTGGAGGCAGGGAGGTTGTTTCCGCTAGCAGGTGAAACTAGGTCTAGAGGGCATCGCCTCAAAATAAAGGGAAGCAGATGTAGGACTGAGGTCAGGAGGAACTTCTTCACCCAAAGGGTTGTGAATCTGTGGAATTCCCTGCCCAGTGAAGCGGTTGAAGCTACATCGCTGAATGTTTTTAAGGCAAGGCTAGATAAATTTTTGAACAGTAAAGGAATTAAGGGTTATGGTGAGTGGGCGGGTAAGTGGAGCTGAGTCTCAAAAAGATCAGCCATGATCTTATTAAATGGCGGGGCAGGCTCGAGGGGCCAGATGGCCTACTCCTGCTCCTAGTTCTTATGTTCTTATGTTCAAAATGCTGGCCTCTACCTGTCAGACTGAGTGTCTGCCCACAAGGTCCCAGACTTGTTGGAACAAATTCTAAGGTATTGACCTCATTTATGACCAAACATCTGCTATCTGTTTAAACATATTGCTTCCCCCCCCCCGGGTTGAAGCACCTATAGAACGTTTTAATCATGAAGCAACCTACAATTAACTTGAAGACCTGAACTCAGCTTGAGCCAAACAATTAACTTCAAAGCTAAAGAACAGCTTGCCAGAACTGAGGAAGGGTCACTGGATCTGAAATGTTGACTCTGATTTCTCTCCACAGATGCTACCAGACCTGCTGAGCTTTTCCAGCAATTTCTGTTTTTGTTTCTGATTTACAGCATCCTCAGTTCTTTCTCTTTTACTTCTCATTTTAACACAAGTTGCTGCCCGCAGTCTAAAGACCATCTTCAGCTCACAGCTCTCAGTCACAGTTCCAAACCAAAACTAGTAAAAGAATAAAATAAGAATGATGAAAATTCAGTGAAGATTCTAAGACAACAAGGTGTGGAGTTGGATGAACACAGCAGGTCAGGCAGCATCAG